TGCTTTTTTTAAAATATCTGGCTGGTGTTTTTACGTCAGAAATTATCTTTTGGAGTCTGTTGTGACTATAGCTGATGATTATGTCTTGCAATAAACCAGTTTTGCAGATAAGCAGATTGTGAGGCTCCAGGAGACGCCAGATGAAATCCCTGAAGGAGGAACACCACATACAGTTAGCTTGCTAATGCATGATAAGTTGGTAGATGCAGGAAAGCCCGGGGATAGAGTTGAGGTAAATATCATACTGTGCCTGAAGAACATGGAGGTCTCACACTTTTGTGGCCAATTGACATATTTTATTTCAACAGGTTACTGGAATTTACAGGGCAATGAGTGTTAGAGTTGCACCAACACAGAGAACTGTCAAATCGTTGTTCAAGGTGGATTCCTTACTCTCCAGTACTGTCAATGAGGCTACTCCATCAGTCCCTTTAAGTGAATGCATAGTCTAACAGTGTGATCTCATTATATCTAATGCAGACTTATATCGACTGTCTTCATATAAAGAAGACCAGCAAGTCAAGAATGCAAGCGGATGACCCAATGGAAGTTGAAAACGGTTTTAATAGAAATGAAGATTTCACATTTGATGAACAGATGGTATGTTTTCTTTTTTCCATTGGATGACAGAGTGTTTGCCTTTACTGCTATTTGTAAGAATTCCTCGCCTGACAATGTAGGTGGAGAAATTAAAAGATTTATCTAAAAAACCGGACATATATGATAGACTAACCAGGTCCTTGGCACCGAATATTTGGGAGCTCGAGGATGTCAAGAAGGGTCTGCTCTGCCAGGTAATGCAATATTTAGTCCTCTTGTTGTTGACTAGTAAAATATTGAGATAAACGAAGCCCTTTTTCGTTAAATAACTGATGTCAAGTTGATTTTTATTCTTGTAGCTTTTTGGTGGTAATGCATTGAAGTTAGCGTCTGGTGCTACCTTCCGTGGGGACATCAATATACTTCTTGTTGGGGATCCTGGGACCAGCAAATCACAGCTCCTTCAATACATACATAAGCTTTCTCCCCGTGGTATTTATACCAGTGGAAGAGGGAGCTCTGCTGTTGGCTTAACTGCTTATGTTGCCAAGGATCCTGAAACAGGGGAAACTGTATGATACCTTTCTTTTGTTTTCTTTGTGAGTTTTTTTATTAGAAAAAGGTAAAGTGGAGTAGATTCTAACATACAAAAGGATCTGGCAGGTCCTTGAGAGTGGAGCCCTGGTTTTGAGTGACCAAGGCATTTGCTGCATAGATGAATTTGATAAAATGTCTGACAGTGCAAGGAGTATGCTACATGAGGTTTGTGAAGTTCATTCCTAATTATGTAGACAACAGAGGAGAGGATCGTGCGGCTCTATCTAATTCTTCATATCAAATCTTTGTGTCACATTTTTCCTCAGTCATATTCCCAAAATGTGGAACGTGATTGTTTAGTAAGCGAGGAAGTAGGACCGCTAAGCACCAAATTTTTTCCTTTCCGCTAAGCACCAGATAACTAAAAGTTAATGTTACTTATTAAGAAAGTCATGTTAATTGAGTTACCGGACTTATTGTGACTTATCTTCAAACTTTAACTTTGCCCTTCCAGGTGATGGAACAACAAACTGTTTCGATAGCAAAAGCAGGAATCATTGCATCACTTAATGCGAGGACGTCAGTATTAGCTTGTGCAAATCCAAGTGGCTCGCGCTATAATCCCCGTTTATCTGTTATTGACAATATACACTTACCGCCTACCTTGCTATCCAGGTTCAGTAACTGCTCTACTTTCCTATATGTATCTGTGTGTACATATATTAACTGCTGAGTTTACCTCGCAAAGTTGAGTGTTCATGGACCTGATTGCTGATACGGCCAACATGTGTTGATTGATGTTAATATGGAGAGTGCTGTGTGCACATTCTGCTTTAGGTTTGAATGCTTCTACTTGCTTGTTTTGTTCTTTCATAAACTTGATAAACCTGGATTTTGTTTATGGACCTGATTGGGACCTAAGCCACATACAAAACGAATGGTAAGCACTATGTTGACATGTTATGATCATCTTGTCCAAATATTAGGTTATGTGTGCATGCCAATAAGCATGTCCACTGTTACAGTCATGAGAGAAATATTGATTTCTCACTGTAATATGCAGACCTAGTTTACTATCATATATTTTTGCTATTAAAGACCTTTTTGTGGTCGGATAAGTTGTGCTACATCTTCTATGCATCTCTTCTTTTTCTGTGGTATCGTGATAAATTCAGAACTAATGTGTCACTTTGTTAGCGAAGATTTACCTAATGCACCATAGTCATTACAGTGATTGAAGCACCACAGCATCAGAGATTAATTTGACTATGATCATAACTTGGTTCATGACAAACAGGTTTGATCTGATATACTTAATTCTTGACAAGCCTGATGAGCAAATGGACAGACGCCTGGCCAAGCATATTGTTGCTCTGCATTTTGAGGATATTGAGGTACAGTTAGAATCAGTACTTCTCTTTATTTACAGTCATCAGGAACATCTCTGTAACATCAGTTAATTTGATCCTCACAACTTGCAGAGTGTGCAGCAGGACGTTTTGGACCTCCCTACTTTAACTGCCTATGTGAGCTATGCTCGGAAACGCATTCATCCGCAGTTATCTGATGAAGCTGCTGAAGAGCTGACACGGGGTTACGTCGAGATGAGGAGGAGAGGAAACTTCCCTGGCAGTAGTAAGAAGGTGCACATTTCATGTTTCTCTCACATTCTTTTCCCTCTTATGGGTTTTGCTGCGTCAATGTTAATTTATTCCAGGATACAATTGCTTGGGCAGGTGATAACAGCAACACCTAGGCAAATTGAAAGTTTGATTCGCCTTAGTGAAGCGCTAGCACGGATTCGATTCTCGGAATGGGTTAGTGAAGGCCCACATAATGCGATTTGACCTTGTTTCTAGGGTGTAAATTCAATGCTGTAACTATCACGATCTTGATTACACAGGTTGAAAAGCGAGATGTGATGGAAGCATTTCGACTCCTGGAAGTTGCAATGCAGCAGTCAGCAACTGATCATTCAACAGGTATTTCTTTAGCCGTGTGATTCTTTACCATTGTATACCGTGTATGCATATGTATGTGTATATATAAGGCAAGATCTAAACTCGAACTAAATTTTTCTAGGCACCATTGACATGGATCTTATCACTACCGGAGTTTCGGCTAGTGAGAGGATGAGAAGGGATAATCTTGCAGCTGCTACTCGTAATGTAATAATGGAAAAAATGCAACTTGGTGGACCCTCTATTCGATTGATGGAGGTAGATCTTTTTATGTATGTTCTGTGGAACAGATTGTCTTACAACTCATGATAGTTAATAATGTGGGAGGCCAGATGTACTGCATGTCATCGCTCACATTTGTTACATGCTAAAATGTGCTGCAGTTGCTGGACGAGCTCAAGAAGCAGAGTTCTCTTGGTGAAGTTCACCTTAGCGATGTAAGTTTCATACTTTGTCAATGAGCAAGTGCCACTTTCTTGTCCTTCTTTCCTTGTTTTTCTTTTGGCAAGTGACTGCCGAGTCAAATATAAACTGACATGACCTTTATACATCCAGCTTAGGAATGCAGTTGCAACTCTCACAACTGAGGGATTTGTAGCTGTCCACGGCGATACTGTCAAAAGAGTGTGATGGAGTGGCATGATGGTAAAATTCACGGGAGAGTACCTTATCTTTCACCGGTGGAATTCTGTTGATGCTGCTGCATCTAGAGTTCCCAGTCACTCAGTAAAGAAAAACCCTTTACTCCTCTCAGATAGTTATTAGCTTCGGTTTCAGGAGTGTAAATGCTTAGTACGTTACATAGGGTTAAGTTTGATAAAACGAATTCTTCGTGTAATCTCTATATTTCAATCTGTTATACTGTTTTAGGTAAATGTTATGTAATTTAACTCTACTAAATAAGCTAGTGCTGCGTGTAAGATACTTGGTTTTAAATCACTGGAACTTCAGTTTTCCTGTTCCACTGAAAACAAAGACTTCATTAACTTGAGCACAGGCAGGAAAAAGATGCAGCTACCAGTCATTGTTGAAACAAGCGAATGAATATCAAATTTGTGATAAAAGAGTTCTATTCAGTTTTGCCACTTTTATTAGACGCCCAAGATGAATGGTACGGTAGAACATGACTGACTGGAAAGGGCCATGTGAATTCCATGGCTGATACAGTGTTAGCTAAGCCGTCTCAGGAAACTTCTCTTTGGCCGTTTCGGGAGACTCTAACCTCAGATGGATAGTGCAGTTTCATGGGATATTATCACGTGTGAAAGCTGTCCTCAAGCACAACTTACCAGGTTAAAAATGCTTGGTGGAGGATGATCTCTAGAACTCAAGAAATGAAATTTGATCTTCCAATTTATAGTATTCGCATATATCTAGGGTTTATAACTTAGCGCAAACAGGTTGCTGCTCCTTTGAGCATTCAGATCGACTTCTACGAAATTCATCTAAAAAGATGGTCAATTAATGGCACCCAACTTGTTCAGTCTGAATGCATCACCATTGCAACGAACAGACATTTGGCTACAAATATCCATGATATCCCTCTAGTGGTCGATGCACATTCTTTATAACAAAACGATAGGCTGACCATTTACTAGAACATATCTAATACCATGCAATTTCACCTGCCGAACCAAAGATACATTGGCAAGTTTATTAAAATGTAGTCAATGATCACCACCGATGTGCAACACATTGGTCGAATATCCAATGGAATTGGTCAAAACTAATGTAGACAAGTTAATGTCTCGTTAGATCCATCCCGTATAATGGCCGAAACTAGAAATACATGGGCTCTGGTATAAGATATAATCAATGAAATTTTCCAGGATTGGGTTGGAGCTGATGAAACTCGAGAAATATCAAATATGGGGCTGAACAGGGTAAATTAGTTAGCAGCTAAAAATGAAGACCCCAGCTCAGCCTTAACAATGTCAACACACGAGAAGGTGACCATAGATGTATGATAATGGAAATAAAACATAAACTAACATTCCAGTTGCGGTACAATTTCATCAACATTGCATCAGATGAATGTTTTCGTAGAATCGGTGAACTAAAATTTCGTTCATGAAGCCAAATTGCCACCATAATATAACACGCCTTATGTACATGCATAGGTTATGGTCAACCTACTGTAAAGCGGTGGAACAGCTTGCGGAGGTAATAGTTAACCTACTGTTTAGCGGTGTGAATAGCAGCGACGGTGGAAACCATGGAGTCCACTCCGCATATATTGCGGCCCCTGCAGATTTTGTAAAATCCATTCTCTCCCCAGTTCTCTCCCCATGAGTTCTTTATGATCCAGTAGGGCTTTTCCTTCATTCTGATGGGAGAATAACCAGCAGAGCCATACCCCACCAGCAAGACCCCGTGATCCAACCTCTTAGAGCATATGTATGGGCATGAAACACCCCCAACATACGTCTGCATGAACACTGCATTGATGGCAACTGCATTCAAGCAAAACAGATTGAAATGCGTAAGAATGGATCACATCTTTGCTTTCTGTGCATCAATGCGTGTCTTTGGCCCTCAACAAAAACAATTTGTTACGGTGTCTAATGATTAGAAAAGATTCATTACTTGCTAGAGGACCGTTCTTCACGAGATTTGCAGCAATTTGATCCTCATCAAGGGAAACAACGCTGAAGTTGGCTACGGATGCCGCTATCTTTGACTTGTCAAATTTGCAACCAGCACGATCAGTACTGGTGTATGGGTAGTCTTCTTCTCGCATAAGGCCGCCGGCTTTGAGAGTGTACTCAAAGGCACTGTTCATCAAACCACCATTGCAACCTGAGTCGCAGGAACCTGGTTCTTCTGGATCACACTACAGAGGCACACAAGCTAGATTAAGGAACTATACCCAGAAAGAAACAGTTTCTTCATGAGGAATCAACATCACAGCATTCAACACGACAAGAAACCCAGACTAATCAGCTCAAAAACCAAATATATTTCATTTTCTGTAGGGCTGCATGATTTTAACATAGAAACATACATCCAGATATATGGGCAAAAGACAAAACAGAACTAGTGCTTTTTCCTAGCTTACGCACATCATAACTGAAAACTTAAGACCCAAAGCAATCTATGTCGTTCACTCATTTGACAAAATGGCAAAACTAGGCATAAAGACACGAGAATGATTTGACACGTTACGAAGGGCATGGTTACAAACCTCGTGATCACAGTCCACAAGCTGTTGCTCGCTGAGGCTAACGAGTTTCCCGGTTGCAAGGTAGTGTGCGCCTTCCAAGGCTCCGGTGGTACTGAAACTCCAGCACGATCCGCATGAACCCTATTCTCACAAAAAATCAATCACATCAAATTCAATCCACCAGACAAAGCACCACTTAATTGCAGACGAAATTTACTTCCAGATTAAAAAGAACAATACAGAAGTCCATGAACAACCATTCAAAATCCCAGAACTCGGGAGCAAAGTTTGAAATCCAAAAGTCAACTCTCATATCATCACAAGGGTCGTATATGCCACTTCCTAGTTAGGCGAAACAGATCCATATTTGTCAAAATAGACCATTAATTCAGGCGAAAAACTCACCAATCAATCATCAAATTCAACGGACGCACACGAGACGCGGGGAACAAGATCTCCAAGGGGAGAAATTATTGAACTTCAAAGGTCGGACAAAAATCGGTGCAAAAAACCTTAACAAATCTATCAATCAAGCAGGAATTCTCAACTTCCAGTACGAATCTAATGATAAACTACGTCCCCATGTCCCGACTGCGGATCTCCAACGCGATTCCCAATTCACACCAACGAAACTACGTAAAGATTCCAATCGGAGAACATGAACTACGGAAATCAAATTTCGCCGAAACAAAAAGCACCTGATTTTTTACGCCGGTGACGGCTCCGTGATCTCTCCAGTCGAAATCCCCCGGCAGATCCTCGGTGGGCAAGATCGGCGCCTGGTTCGCGTCCTTGGGCAGCTTGACCTTGCCCCGGAGCCCCAGGTGCGCCCTCCTGAACTCCGACGGGGTCAGATCGGAGAACTGCGTCACGCCGTGGACAGCGGAGGGGTCGAGCTTCTGGTGCCGCCTCGCGCGGCGGAGGTTCGCGCGGAAGACCCCGAACCTGTAGTCGTGCTCCTCCCGGGAGCCGTACGACCTCCCGAACCTCCTCTGGAAGAGCGAGAAGTGGTGGTGGTCGGACAGGGCGGCGCCCCGCCGCCCTTCGCCGTCGGCGCCGTCCACCACCTGCCTGATCAGCGCTTCGCCGTCGTCGGAGGAGGCGAGGGCGGCGGCGGCGGCGGCGAGGAGGGCGGCGGCGGCGGCGGCGAGGAGGAGGGGGGAGAGGCGGCGATCCATGATGGGGCGATGTGCGTCGGAGAGATGGATCGGTGGGACTCTTATAGCTGCAGAGAGGTTAGGTGGTTTCGTCCTTCGTAGCTAACAGTCTTTTGATCGATTGAGGGAAAGCTTGGAGGAGGAGAAGAAGGAGAGGGATGGGCCAATGAGAGATCGACACGTGGAATGAGATGAGGTCAGGGTTGAATGGTAGTTTTCTTTATTTTGATTTTTTTAGTTATCTGAAAATATTTTCTTCTTCTAATTTTTTTTTCTTTTTAAGGTCGGCAAGATTTAAAAAATTGAAGAAAAGGCAGGAACATAGTGGCGTGCCGTTCGGGGTATTTCCACGTTCGCAGCTTCCGTCGGAGTCGGACGGTGCAGGAAAGGAGGACTAATCGAAAATTGCTTCCTTAAGGATAAGGTACGGCAACACAAACGATCCCTAAACTTTAGTTTAACGTATAATGTGATCCCTGAACTTTTAATTTGTTCAATATAATCCCTGAAATTTAACCTAATGTTCGATGTGATCCATGAATTTTTAATTTGCTCGATGTAATCTCCGTACTTTTGATATATGTTCAGGGACGGCACATTGGATTAAAATTCGTGGACCGTATTGAACAAATGAAAAGTTAGAGGCCATATTTCACGATAGATTAAAGTTCAGGGACCGTATTTTTCCTAAAGATAATCACGTAAAAAAAAAATAGCGTGTCTCTGAATTGACTCTTGTTCTAATTTTATTTTTCCTTGGTTCAAATGTTATGATGCATCATGTATTTTGCTTTTTTTAATTCATGATAGTGGAAACTTTCACGACACGTGACAATTCGTGGGTAGATCAATGTATAACTTTTTCGTATTTTTTTTAAATTCAGAATGTAGTTTAAATTTTTACAATAAAGTAAAAACGTAGTTTTGGTTTAACACTTAAACAAAAGCCCCCTAGTTAACCGCAATTACTTTCATCGTCAAGACTCATATATGCCTAAACATTTTCGCCGAAGGCTGAATATATTATTATTTTCATTCATTTTTATGAACTATCCTATCGATATTTTTAGAAAATATGTATTGGAGGAAACATTTTTTATATAATTGATTTTTTGCAAAACAAAATTACCCCATTTTTTGTCCTTTTTTTCCCATTTTCCCTTTTTTTTGGGGTCTTTCCTTTCCTTTGGTGAATAGCATGTTTTCTGTTTGATTATTATGCTGGATAAATCCTATTGCAACTGTTTCTTCTCCTAGACTTTATCTTTGGTTGTGTATGATAATGGCAAAATAATTCAGAGACGAAATTCGGCAAAAATAAATAAATAAATATATATATATATATAGTTTCGAGAATTAATTTTTTTAAAAATTTTTCCCTTGTACAGACAAAGGCTTTTCCTTGTTGGAAGCTTACTAAGTTGGCATGCTTTGTGTAAGAACTAAGTTGTCTTAATCTTCAAGACAAGGAGAGGGTAGGGTTATTCCTAAGAAAGCAAAGTTTAGGATCAACATCATGCCCTGAAGTTCCTAAGTAGATAGTTTTGCCTTTAGCATGAGATTATAGCCCGACCAATCCGTTTGACCTGTGATCAGTTGCATGCCCGATTTATTTCGAGCAAAACAATGATTTCGACTCTCGGGCATGTCGTTGTAGTTAGGTATGAAAAACGTGGGAACACATCGTGGAATTGCCTCCTGACGATGTGGCGTAAAGGGTTTCATGAAAATCCGTGATTGTGCAGTGCGATATCATCGTGGTTTAGAAATTTCCTCAGGTTCGCGTGGAAGGCGCGATCGAACCCGACATACGGTGGAATCAGAATTGAATTGGGTCGGATTAAATTATATATTTATCGATTGGTATTTTAGGAAGCGTACGTTGTATGTATTAGTTGACGTAGAATTTATATCCAGCAAGAAGCAAGAGGTGAACTTAGTGCTATAACGTTTAGAATTTTCCCTTAGTTTTATATCATGATTGAATATTGAATTGATTTTAGTTTTCTTATCCTCTTCCGGCGTTTCTTTTTGTTCTCTTTTGTCTATTGCCGATCTTTGGATTCCCTCTTCCTCCTCCTTTTTACACATATGAAAACATGTCGACGTAGACTTTTAACTTTTTAGTTTTTACTTAATATAAATCTTGCGGCGGGCGAATTTTGACTTTTTTAGGCTTTCTGAATAGTGTTTTTTAGGAAGCCATTTTTTAGGAAAATGACAATATTTTCTAGTATTTGATTGAAACCTGAAAATGAACTAGAAAATATTTTTTGCCGTTTGGTAAGGAAAATCTAAAAATTACCAAAAAAATCAAAATTTTATTTTTTAAAATTTTTTTTCTTTTATTTTTTTCTTTCCGTTTCTTTTTTCCTTCTTCCTCAACTGGTGGCCGGCCACATCGACCAGCCACAGGCTAGAGACGAGCTCGCCACTCAGCCTATTGTGGATGGTATAATGTTCTTTCTAAATATTTTTATAAAAGAAAGAAAAAATAATAATAATTAGCAATTCTAATTTAAAATTATTATTATACAAGAATTTCTTTTTAAATATTTTTATGAAAATGAACATTTCATTAAGGGAAAACACCACCAAAAACCCCAAACTATGCCACTTGTGACAAGTTTATCCCGAACTTTTTTTTATGACACGAAAAACCCCAAACTATACCACTTGTGACACATCTACCCCAGAATACATCACGGCGGAGGGGAAGAGAGAAGAAAAAAAAAGGAAAAAAAAAGAAAAAAGACGAAAAATGCCCATGGACAAATGTATTGTGGGGTAAATATGTCACAAGTGGCATAGTTTGGGGTTTTTCGTGTCACAAAAAAAATTCAGGGTAAATTTGTCACAAGTGACATAATTTGAAATTTTTTGTGGTGTTTTCCCTTTCATTAATCAAGGACCCAAGCCCAAGCGCTGAGGACCCATGCACGACCTTTGTGGACTCAAGCACGACCTTTATGGGCCCAGGCTCGGGTGCCGAGGAATCGGGTATTGGCATGAGGGGTTCAAACCCGGCCTCAATGGATTCACGTGTGAACACTGGGAACCCGGGCTCAGCCTTTATGGACCTAGGCCCTGCTGCCGAAGACTTGGTTCCGAACGTCGAGACCTAGGAACCAATATTAGGGTTTTCATGTCCAAGCATAGAGTTTTAGGTTCAAATGCCGATACTAGTCATATATTTGGAAAATGTTTTTCGATTTTTCAAAAGAGGAAATCATTTTCCTGAATTTAAGCATAGATTTTCTGTTGATTAGGAAAATATTTTTCGTTGACTCATTTTCCTAAGTGAACAAAACGTAAGAAAATGTTTTTTGTGAAACAAATGTAGCCTTAGATTTCATTTGTTTCGCGAAAAATGAATGATTTAGAAAATATTTTTCTAAAATAATCGTTTATATCACTTGAAATAATTAGTCAATGAAAAATATTTTCATCATTGACAACAATTCATATCGTGGACGATGAGAAAATTTTTCGTTAATTCACTTTCGAAAACAACACAAACTATTGTTTTTAGGAAAATAATTTCTAAATCATCCATTTTCTGAGAAACAAACGGAGCCTTAATTAAAATTTTCACAATATGCAAATATTAACATGTGAATTTATATATATATTTATGGTCGTAAACGGGCCACTTTCATTTAACTAACAGAACTCAAAAAACATTCACAAGTAAACGTTAAAACATAACAAATCTCAAAGAGGTTGGGGCTACGACAGCCAATTAGAAGGAAGGTGACCTAATCTATGGGCCTTGACGATTGAGTCTACACGGCCATTATCTTCACGTGGAGACATGGCCAATTAGAAGGGAGGCGGCCTAATCTATGTGAATATATATATATATATATATATATATATATATATATATATATATATATATATATATATTTTGCTCATAATTTTCTTGAATTTGAATAATATTCTAAATCTTGATTTTACGTGAACTTAATTCTAAACAAACCATATGTTATGTGCGGATCTTACTTATAGTAGTTTTCTAGCTTTCGTGACTGACTTGCAATTCTTATAAACTTTTTCAAAATAAAGATATATAAGAATATATAGGCATAACTTTTAATGTATTAAACTGGATAAATATAATCAATGGAACAGGTCAAAATAAAAAACTTATAGGAAATTAAATTACCCAACTACCATGATTCACTTCCTTTCTCGATTTTCGATCTGATTTTTTTTTTTCAAAAGGATTGTCATTATCTGTTTTCAAATTCTTCGAAAGTTCAGATGGATCAATATCAAAATACGAGCATTGTAATATGAAATTTAAATTTATAGTCTAATCTTGAACTCTAAAAAAGTGAATCTATGAATATAAAATAAGAAATAGTGTGAAAGTTCTAAAACTTGTCACTAAAGTGCAATTGAATCTTGAAACTTATAAAAAAATGTAATTAAGTCATAAAATTTGTCAAATTAGTGCAATTAAGTCCTTCTAGTAACTCCATCCAATTTGGCTAACGGAAAATATTGACGTGGCTTTTTAAAATATTTTTCCTCTCCTACGTGGCGATGACGTGGTTAAATCATGAAACATAATGTTAAAATGACGTCGTTTTAGTTCAAATATGATTTTTAATACAAATTTTGTTTAAATTAAATTTTAAAATAAGTTTAACTAAAAAAATAAAGGAGAAAGCAGGTGGGGATGCTGCAAGCACTCGCCGCCGCCGCCCCCATCATCACCTAGAAGGGCCAACGAGGGTGGGGAATTGTCGGTGAGGGTTGTCAGCCCTAGCAATGGTGGAGTGACGGTGAGGGCTTGTAGCCTTTCCCGCATGCTTTCTCCCTTATTTTTTTTAATTGAGCTTATTTTTAAATTTAATTCAAATCAAATTTGAATTAAATATTAGATTTGGACCAAAATGAAGTTGTTTTAGCTACATTAACGCCACGTGGAATAGGGGAAATAATTAAAAAAAATCATGTCAGCATTTTCCCTTATCAAATTGAATAGAGGTAATGGGAGGACTAGATTGAATTAATTTGACAAGTTTTAGAACTTGATTGCACTTTTTGCAATCAATTGCACTTTCGTGATAAGTTTTAGTACTTCCAGTACTTATTCCTGTAGAAGAAATATAGAACTAGATCGATAACCAACTTCTCAATATATCAAACACATCAATATAAAACCGTTGGCAGAACCTCAATGATGCCCCCATTCTTCTTACGTTAAGATTAGTTCTCATGAAAATCAAATTTCACTTACAAAAATGAATGAATGAAGTATATTTTTATCGCGCACGAAAATACATAAACATAAATAATTGTCAATAATAAAAATATTTTTCATTAACTAATTATTTCAAACAATATAAATGATCATTTTTATAATGCTTTTCACTCGTTCATTTCCGCGAAACAAACGGAGCCTAACAATACATTTGATTGCGGTAATGACTATTACATGACAGGTCTATTATAGGTTAACTGTCTATTACGGTATTACATATAGTAATAGCTATTATGTGGCGCCCCGTTACTCACCTGTAGATGTTAAGATTATAAACGTATAATTAAAATATATATGAATTATAACTAAATTAATTAATTCTATTTATATAATGATAACATCAGTTAGACTTATCTCGACTTTAATCACATATTATGATTGATAGATAAAATACTAAATAATAGCTAAATAGTTGATGTGCTTGTAATTATGTTAACTCGATATTGCATAATCATTTATTATGGTAAAAGTTATTCATAACAAATAATTAGCATAATATTAGTTGCTCCATATTAGTTACAGTTATCAAAATTTTCGTAACTTAGTATATATAATTATTCATAATAAAAATATTATCGCAATTACTAATTATATCAATCAATGCTCAAATTTGTAATATGATAATTATTTGAATCAAACTATTAATAATTATGTAATATAGCAAAATTTGTATTTACACAATCACATTCGATATCCGTGAAACGGCGCCGCATAAGCACAACAGCTTGAGCTTGAACAGGTGGCTTGGCGAACTTTCAAGTCGTCGGCGTCGACGTCGTCGTGGCTCGTCGATGGATCGATCTCGCCTGGTGCGATCGTCGCCGGAAGAAAGCACGACAATGGCGGAGATCGAGGCCGGAACCGGCGATTCGACCCGGCAGACGTCGCGGAGCGACGGCGAGGAAGAGAAGAACGGTGCCGATCCGGAGTTGTTCAGCTGCCTGCTCCAACCTCTAAGCGCCGATGGCGATCCCAACTACGCCGGCGTCCGCCGCCTTCTCCTCCACCGCAAAGCGCTCTCCGGTTGTCTCCGCCGAAGAGTACCTCTCTTTCTCTCTCTCTGTGAATTCGGCGTGAATGTGTGCGCGCGCGTGTTTCATTCGGCGGAGTTCTTTTTGTGGTTGTTTGTTTGAAGGACTGGAGATGCAACGGGAAAGGTTACGCCGCGTACCGGAATTACATCCGGAGGCCGAGGAACTGGGAGAATTTGCAGACGCCGAGCCTGAGCACTCCTGGGAACAGGTCGCCGATCGCTTTGCTGGACTTGGAGCTGTCATTTCTTTTCAAATTTTTGAGTTTCGGCTAGCTTTTCTTGATGGGGTTTACCCTCTTTTTGATTTTGCTTCTCATGTTGCTAGTTCTGTGTGAGCTGTAGCTGCCCTTTTGGCGTGCGCGTTAGTGCTAGTTTTAAAGTCTATGTTTGCGCATAATTCTGACATCAGGGTGGTTTACTGGTTGATGCATCAGCGGGCAGTGGGTGTCTTCTCCGAATCCGCTGTCCCTCGTGTATGAAGGGGAGAGCTGGAGCTCGAGCAGGGTAATCATTTTAGCTTAAAGTCATGTCTTCAGTTTGAATTATTGAGTGTTGTTGGTAGAATAACCAATTATGGTTTGCCTGCATATATAACACCCCATGGAGTGGATTCTACATGGTACTTGTCGGTAATGATATTCAAGGAGTACTGGGCAGAACTAAAACCATAGAAAATACAAGGTTTTAATGTTGTCAGTGGGAAAGGGGACATTTGATCTGTAGGGATAATTGCATGATGTGGACTGTAATTACAGGATCTGCGGAGTGGCAATCTAGCGTCTAGTCACAGAACAAGTTTCAGCTCCAGTGTGAGCGATAGTGATCGGCCACGTCGTCAGGGGGCTGAACCTGCATACTCGTTCGTGGGAATGCATTGCATCTTTGATCAAAGCAGAGCTTCTGGTAATCCTTCAGATAGTCTAGACTGCTTTCATTGGCCGAGGATGGAGTGTAAACAGTTATCTTTTGCAGTGACCGTTCTGAAGTTTGGGCATGCAAGTTCCAATCTGCTTGCATATGGGGCAGCCGATGGAACCTTGACAGTATGCACTGTCTCGGAGCCACCTTCAGTTATTAAGCAATTGGCTGGGCATTCGAAAGAAGTCACAGGTTGGCTTAACTGGTATCAGCTCCATTCTTTTCTTTCTGTCTGGTTATGTACAGTTTTTTGAAGGCATCCCTTTCACATGTCATTAAAGGTCGGTTAAAAGACATTCTTTTGACATATGCTGGTTCAACGGAATAGAATTTGTGCTGGAAATGTAGTTATTAAGTTTTTTTAGGACTCTTATATGCCAAATCTCTGACTTACAGCATAAAATTCTTTATTTATGTGAAAAGCTGTATTTCCTTATTCTAATTTGGTTCTCCGAAATCCACTTTCGAGGGGCCATGATGGTATTCAATCTTTGACAAGCATACTCGCTAATCAGTGGAATAATGTTTGGGAAGCTTGCTTATTGTTCAATCGTGTGAAATTCAAGTACGAAATGAAAATTGACTTTGAAACTTAATTGCCCAAAACATGTCACTTATATATCTTATGTGTGTCTTTTCCTTTTAAAGTCACGTGGAAGCCAATGTGTGTCTTCAGTCTTCCTCATAGATTCTGCAGATATAAGCAAATGATCGTATGGTGGTTGTCTATGTGGATCTTGTTTTCATGCATCATGCTATCTGAGTCATTATGATGCTTGCTCAGAAAAATCAGTTGGGCATATCCTATCATCATGGTACCTATGTAGACATGTGAAGTACGTTGACCTCTGTAAAGACACCCAAAGAACAATGCTGGAGTGACCGTCTGTGGAATCCACTCATCCTAGAAGTTAGTTACAGAAATCCATTATGCATATTTTCTTCATGATTGACACCAAGCTTAAATTTCGAACTGTATACTTTTTTGCCTCGTAAGCAGAGTGAAGTTGTGGCTAGTTAGAAGTAATTTCTTATATTTTCTAATAATACATAAGGTTGAATGTAGCTAGTTTTTCAGTTAGTTGTGAATTCCTGTCATAGCTTGATCATGATTGATGTGAAGCATACACTTTGCAAATTGTACCTTTTTATTTGTTAAGATAGCAGAAAAGTAATAGCAAGGAAGTAAAAAGTTTGTCTCCTTTGGATTGTCGTGCGGATGCATAGGCTATATATAGTGAAATACCACAAGGTAATAAAAGTTGGTCCTTACTTGAAGTTATTTTTGTGGCTCTTTTCGTGTAGTTGTTGGCCCTCCTATCATCATAAACTTTCTGATACTCTTTGTTCATTTCAGACTTTGATTTCTCCTCCAATAATCAGTACATCGCATCATCTTCAATTGATAAAACAGTGAGAGTGTGGGAGATATCCAAAGGAATTTGCATAAGAGTGATATATGGAGTATCGTCACAGTTGTGCATCCAGTTTCACCCTGTAAGTACACCTGTACATATATTTTGAACTAAAAAAGGTTTCTATGAGTTCAATCAACTAGATGTTGAAACTAGAAGAAGTTACTCCAGAATCTAAGCCCTAAATGCCGTTTAATTTGTTAGGAAGTATCCAACTCGACTTGTTTGAGCATCTCATTCTTTTTCTCATGGCTCAAGTAATGTGCTTTATCTTTGGTCTAGTTTTCTTTATTTCATGTTCAATAAGTTTTCTTAGAAGTTCCTGCTCAGTGATCGTGGTGTCATAGTCAATATGCTATATAAATTAAATTTACTATGTCAACTGGATTCTTTTCTCAGTTCCAATCATAGGCTTCCATTTTATTATTTTTTCTTACTTACAGACTGTATGTTTAAAACATACCATTAAAGTCATTAACTGTACTCTTGATTATTGATGCAGGTAAATAACAACTTCCTTTCAGTTGGCAATGCAAACAAAGAGATAACTGTAATTTCTGGGTGCCCTAATTTTCAGCATATCATGTTGTTTGCTTCTCCCATGCTTGAATTGTTTACTTCGAAATTTTTGTTTTATTTTTTCCTTTAGATAGTTCCGACTAGATACAATCATAATGCATTTTTTGTGTAGTTTTGAGTGTTAGCATTTTTACCAACTTTTTAGTTCCAAAAATTTTAAAACACTGATTTAGACATATATAGTGACCATAGTGACCATATTTACTGTGGCTAACATACATTGCAGAACCTACCTGGGTCATAAATATGGCTTTGCCAGATTTTATAAGACATCACATCAGCATTTTGTGTACTCTGTCATCTGAGTGATTAAAGGATGGGGATAGCTCAATCATGTGATCTTGTTTCATGACTAAAGGATGACTTTGCAATAGTTTACTAAAAGTGCTCCTCAAAAGATCTGAATAAAATATTTGTCGATGGATTATCTCAGAAGCACTCAGGTTAAGCTCAGTTTTTCGAGTGGGACCATGTTTGTTACTATATAAATTGTTCATCTCCATATTGAGCTATTCGAATATATATTCTAGCAATCCCTCTTATATGTGAGATTCCTTTGATGGCGAACCAGGTGTTCAATTTTAGCACTGGGAGAATAATAAGTAAGACAGCATTTGATAGTGAAGTCACGTCTATGGACCACGATCATACTGGTCAGCTGATATTCTGTGGGGATGCTCAAGTATGCTTCTGTAAATCACTCTGATGGACTTTTTTTTTTAATCCTGCTCTTCTGCTTGTCGAATGCTAGTTGCAACGTGCTATTATGTGCAGGGATCTGTATACTCTGTCAGCATGAACTCCCACACGGGGGCACTGTCACGCAGTCATCGTGATAGAACTAGCAGCAAACGCAGGTCTCCTGTAACTACTGTGCAATATCGGAGTTTCTCTTTGCTAGCCCACGGTCCTGTGTTACTGACTTGTACCCAAGACGGAAGTTTGTCTTTCTACAGGTCTTGGAGGCAGAATACATCCTTTGTTCTAATAACGTTATTGTAAATCCTAATGAGCCGATACAATTTTCTTTGCTGTCATTGCAGTGTAGCTTTGGAAATACAAGGTTATCTGACCCTTCGTTGCTCACTCAAATTAAGTCCACGAGTGCATACTATCAGGGTTTCATTCTGCCCTCTTCTTTCTCTTGAGAAAGGGGAATTTATAGGTGTCTCTCTCTCTCTCTGGATTTTTTCTTTAGTATGTCTGGAGCATTATAGTCATAGGTATTTCTGATTTTGAGATGAAACATACATCAAGACATGCATAAGGATTGAGTATAACTAATTACCTGAATATTTTGTTTTCATTCTTTTACCATTTGTCAGTAGAACGCTCAGATAACTAGGATTTCTTCTCTTTAGAAAATGAAACATTCTTGGATGCCACCGAGATGTATTCATCTTTTGTGCCTGTTTGGTTGGGGCAATGACTCCGCTTTGTTTTGGCCATAAGAGTGGATATCTGTACTGAAAGATGCATAAGTTTGGTCAGACATATGTAGTATTATTGCAAATTATTGTTGAATGGCAGGGCGTAGAAAAAGCATTAATCATAATGGTTAATACTTGAGAATGCAATTATATGAAGCCCAACGCTCTTTCACAATATTTACTTATTCATGTTTCATACACAAGTGTTAATGCAAACTCTAAGTGATTACCAAAAACTCCAATAAAATCATTTCTTTCTCATGAAGTTGAGGACAATTATTTGTTTGTTGTAACTAACATAGCACATTTTCTGTTATGTGAAGTTGCTGGAAGCGAGGATTCAAACGTCTACTTTTATGACCTGACTCGGCCAAGGCATACCTGTGTAAACAAGCTACAGGTCTGCCTTTATTGCTTGGCATGTTATCAGAGCTTTTGTATTTGTTGTCATCAAAAACCGAATCTAAAGTCAATTGCATTACAGGGTCATCGGTTCCCAGTCGTAAGTGTTGCTTGGAACCATGGTGAAAACTTATTGGCATCATCTGATTTGTATGGCACAGTTATTGTGTGGAAGAGAGCAAAAACAAGCTAAGACATTTGTACACACGACGGGTATGAAGCACGAGAACATCTAAAGCTTATGCCCAAGGAGACAGGAGACCAGGTTTGAGGTATTCAACGATGTTGTTGAACAAAAGGCCACTTCTTGCAGAGTGCTTTAAAGTGGACGGTGTCAATGGGAGCTGATTGATCATACCTCTGTCTCTCTCTGTCTCTCGCTCTCTTTTTCTCTCCATTCTCGAGAGAAAGATTATGTGCTTTTTTGTTTTAAGGGGAATTGAAGAACTCGGTGCTGTAACATTTTCCTTTCCCCAATTGACATTTTACAAAGGCAAGTGAAAAGGAATTTTTGGGAGCAAATTTCTAGATATATATGTGTGGAATTTTTAGATGGAGAGAAATCCTTTTTCTCATTCATTTTTACTACTTCTTTACATTGTCATATTTATAGACTAATACACAGGGGAGTCCTAGCAAACAAAATAGGAAACAAAGCCTAAATAGGAGAACAGCTACAATCCCACGATTTGTGGGATTTAACCAGAATAAAAAAACTCCTAAATAGGAAAAAATCTACTCCTATCAATCAGTTAATTTTCCTACATATTTATAGCCATATAATCTGGATATTTACAGCTCGACACTCCCCCTCAAGCTGGTGAATAGATATCTTCCATTCCCAGCTTGGTAACTAGCTCGTGAAAACTTCCACCATTAAGCCCTTTGGTCAAGACATCTGCCACTTGCTGTCCTGAAGGAACATAAGACAAACAAATTAGTCCTTCTTCAAGTTTCTCCTTGATGAAGTGCCTATCGATCTCAATGTGCTTTGTCCTGTCATGCTGCACGGGATTATGAGCAATATTAATTGCAGATTTATTGTCACAATAAAGCTTCATAGGACTTTGCCACTCGACCTTCAAGTCATCAAGAATGATCTTGAGCCACAATAACTCACATATTCCATGAGCTGCTGCCCTAAACTCAGATTCTGCACTAGATCTTGCCACCACATTCTGTTTTTTACTTCTCCAAGTTACCAGGTTACCTCCAAGGAAAGTACAATAACCAGTTGTAGACCTCCTGTCAACCACGGATCCAGCATAATCCGCATCTGTATAAGCCTCAAGCTTAAGATCAGGACTCTTCTTGAATAGTACTCCCTTCCCTGGGCTCCCTTTCAAGTAGTGTAGGACTCTATGAGCAGCCTGTAGATGTGACTGCTTTGGATTATGCATGAATTGACTAATCAAGCTTACTGCATAGGAGATATCTGGTCGGGTATGAGCAAGGTAGATCAACTTTCTGACCAATCTCTGATACATTTCTTGATCCACTGCTGCTTCCTCTTGTGCTTCTGCTAGTCTCTGGTTTGGCTCAATCGGAGTAGTTAATGGTTTGCAACCAAGTTTTCCTGTTTCTTCCAAAAGATCCGTCACATACTTTCGTTGTGAAATAAAGATCCCTTGCCTTGAGTACGAAACCTCAATTCCCAGAAAATACCGTAACTTTCCTAACTCCTTTATTTCAAACTTCTGAATCAAGTACTGTTTCAGCCGCTGTTTCTCCCTTTCATCATTGCCCGTGACTATTATGTCATCAACATACACCAATAATGCTGTAACTCCCCCTGCGTCCGAATGTTTTATAAAAAGTGTATGATCTCCCTGGCTTTGTTTATACCCAGATGCCTTCATGACTCTAGCAAACCGTCCAAACCAAGCTCTAGGTGACTGCTTGAGCCCGTATAGTGCCTTTTTAAGTCTACAAACCTTTTCTGTTGTTTCCTGTCCTTCAAAACCAGGTGGAATGCTCATGTAGATTTCCTCTTCCAAATCTCTGTGTAAAAATGCATTCTTTACATCATACTGTTGAAGTTCCCAATCAAAATGAGCAGCTAAGGACAGTAAAATTCTTACGGTATTCATTTTAGCCACTGGTGCGAATGTCTCTTGGTAATCCACTCCATATGTTTGAGTGTAACCTTTTGCAACCAATCTTGCTTTGTACCTCTCTAGAGAGCCATCTGCCTTGTACTTTACAGTGAATACCCACTTGCACCCAACTAGATTTTTCCCTTTTGGCCTATCAACAATTTCCCACGTTTTATTTTTTTTCAGTGCCTTCATCTCTTCTACCATGGCATTCCTCCATTCCTCTTTTGACAATGCTTCAGACAAAGTGTTAGGGACAGCAATAGAGTTTAAACTCACAATAAAGTTTTGGTATGGTGATGATAATCTATTAAGGGACACATAATTTGATAGTGGATAAACTGGTTTCTTGGTGCACTCTCTAATCCCTTTTCTAACAGCAATAGGTAAATCAAGATCAGCCTCAGGTGTATCATTAAGCTGTTTATTCAAAGGAGGTTCAGGACATACTGTGTTCTCATTGGCAGCACCCGGAGTGGCATTTTGGACCTGCTCTTGTGTTGGAACGGATGTCCTCCTTGAATACACCTGAGAAAATCTCACAGAATCATGGATACGAGTTGGACTAGTGGAAATAGGAACAGAACCAGGTTGAGTTGGACTAGTGGGAATAGGAACAGAATCAGGTTGGTGTGTGGGAGATTGTGGTGGGCAAGAGATAGGATTCAAGGTAGGTTCATGAGCTACAGTGGACGAGTTTGGGTTGACAGGGACATTGGACAGTAAATCCAGGTTATCAATAACACCATGGCCCTTATCTTCCATGACTGAAATCTCCCCCTGAAGATAAGGTTGTGAAAAATAGGGTTTATTTTCAACGAAAGTGACATCTGCAGAGAGATAGAATTTTTTGGAAGGGGGATGGTAACATTTATAGCCCTTTTGTGTTTGTGAGTAACCAAGAAACACACGTTTGATTGCGTGAGGATCTAACTTTCCTCGTTGATGATGATGAATGTGGACAAAGGAAGTACAACCAAAGACTCGAGGTGTAAGACCATTAGATGTACGAAAGTGAGGATAGAACTGAGAAAGAACTTCCATAGGAGTCTTGTGGTTTAATGTACGTGAGGGTTGTCTATTGGTCATGTACGTGGCTGTAAGAACAGCTTCCCCCCAATATGTTTTAGGAACTTGCCCGTGAAACAATAGGGCACGAGTTGTGTTAAGGAAAAGACCATTTTTTTCTTTCAGCAACCCCATTTTGTTGGGGTGTATTCACACAAGATGATTCATGGATAATACCTTCCTTTTGAAAATACGAGGACAGTACTTGATTGAAGTAATCTCTAGCATTATCAGATCGAAAGACCTTGATCTTAACCCCAAACTGAGTTTGAATCATGGAATGAAAGGAAGGAATAATGCTACTCACATCGGATTTATGTTTGAGTAAGAAAGTCCACGTGATCCTAGAACAATAATCAATTAAAGTGACAAACCAACGAGCTCCAGAGATGTTTGGAATTGTGGAAGGTCCCCAAATGTCACTATGGATCAAGTCAAAAGGATTAGAACTACGACGATTGCTAATAGGAAATGGTACACGATTATGCTTGGCTAACTCACAAACATCACAATGGAAATCTTTAATATTCAAACCTTTAAACAAGGATGGAAACATAATACTCAAGACTTGAAAGGACGGATGACCAAAACGAAAATGATGAAGCCAAATAGCTTCTTTATTTGAAGTACCAAGAAACGATGAAGATAGAGTATTCATGATTCTTCTTGCAGTGAGAGGTGTCTCAAGGTAGTACAGCCCATTTTGTTCCTTAGCAAGTCCAATCCTCCTCTCCGAGTCCTGATCTTGAAAAACACAGTAGAATGGGTAAAAAATGACTTGACAATGAAGATCTTTTGTGAGTTTTTGTATGGATATAAGATTGGTAGACAGTTTAGGGACAGGAAGAACATCTTTAAGGACAAGATTAGGTGTGATAGAAATATCTCCAATCCCTGCAACAGTCGCAAGAGAACCATTTGCCACAATAATCTTCCTATTGCTAGGACAAGGTGTGTAGGTGCTGAAATGGGATGAGATATGAGTCATATGATCGGTAGCCCCCGAATCAACAACCCAAGAATTACCTGAGAGTGCTAGACAACATGCACCAGAGGGTTTATTAAGAGACCCTAACAAACCTCTTATTTTCTCAATTTCTTCACTATTGAAGGCTGTTTTCTCCTGAACTTCTTCGTGACTAACTTGCTCAGTTAGGTGGACCCGGGCCTTGACTGTGTTGCCCGATTCACCCATTCTCGGCCTGAAGTAGTTGGTTTGCCATTCAGTTTCCAGCATTACTCCTTTGTATGTCTCGGTTTCTTGCAATAGGCACACCACAAGTTGTCCCGGTTGTCTTTCCTTGGCAAGTCACCCTTTTCATCAACCTTTTTGATTGTCAAGGCTGACCCTTCTACTATTTGTGGTTCGAGCATGATGGATCGACAACTTTCTTCTGCCCGGATCAAGGAAATTGTTTCCTCCAATGATGGCACTTCCTCCTTGCCAAGTATTTGAATTCTGACTTGGTCGAATTCAGAATTAAGCCCGGCTAAGAAATCGTAGACTCGATCCTTTTCAATAAGATTCTTCAGAATGACCGCATCTTCTGGACACCGCATATGGAGTACTCGATAATGATCGAGTTCTTGCCATAAGTTCTGCAGAGAATTAGCATACTCAGTAACAGTCTTACCTCCTTGCTTTGTCCCACTGGTTTTCACCTTAATTTCATACACCTGGGCTGCATCACGAGCCTTTGAGTACGTCCGTTGGATGGAATCCCAGATCTCTTTTGCTGTTAATAGAAACATACAAGTATCGCTTATGGCTGGTTCCATGGAATTCCATAGCCATGACATGATCATGGAATCAGCCTCATCCCACGCATCGAAATCAGGATCTCCTAGTTTGGGTCCTGTCCCAAGCAGATGGCTGAGTTTTCCTTTGCCCTTCAGATACGTCTTGACAAATTGTGACCACTTGAGATAGTTCTTCTCATTCAAAACGAGGGCTGGTCTGATATTCTGAAGATCACCTGTCATGTGTGTTGAGGCGACCTCCTCCAATGGTTTTTTGATAGAAGGGGTCGGATCTGTGGTTTTCGGTGTGATTTCGGAATTGGACATTTTTGGAGAGTAAAGGTCAGGAAGGAAACAAGAGTAGTAGTGCAGCTATGAAGCCTGCATTCGAAGGAAAAATTTCCTGGAGAATAAAAGACAGCAATGAAGGCTGTAATTTGGAATCCAGAAATCTAGCCTAGAGCTCTGATACCACGTGGAATTTTTAGATGGAGAGAAATCCTTTTTCTCATTCATTTTTACTACTTCTTTACATTGTCATAGTTATAGACTAATACACAGAGGAGTCCTAGCAAACAAAATAGGAAACAAAGCCTAAATAGGAGAACAGCTACAATC